CTCGAGTATGGCCAGGAAGCAGCACCGGAATGGAGATACGTCATGTACGGAACATTGGACGACCGAGGTCAGGAAGAACTTGCACCACAAGGCGAGTTCTTTGGGAAGTATCGGAACCCATGGATGCCTGAGATTCCAGGTATGTGTTTTAATACGCTTACATCTTTTATCAAGCTCACAACGACTCCCAGGACTATTCCACAAGGAAGAGATCAAGGATTGACCCACGAGAAGCGAATATTGTTATCTAGTTTGTCACATTACGAACGCGTTGATAACCAATCACAACTAGTACCTCTCCTTTCTTCCGCCCTTGTCCTAGTCAGTTCATTACAATCAAGTGTCACTACTACCGACCTCTTCTACTCCTAAGTCCGTGATAGCACGTTACTCCATTCCTTCTATTCCTGCCGTTTCTCCCGTCCTCCACTCTACGCCGACTGAGCCGTGTAACTCCCAGTATAACCTGTCAGATCTTGCTATCCGTATCTCGCCGTGTCCTTTACGCAAGCCATTGAAGTGAAACTGTGCAGAAGAGTGCTCGTGGTCGCCAGTTATCGTATAAGTCTGGGAATGTGCTTCACCTTTCGTATCTGATTTCAAGGTGGCTTGGAGGCCCATTGGGATGCGGAAGGGTCTCCGCACAATGAGTGTAAGCGTGAGGTGTCCTTCGCCTGGTGAATGATATAGAACGATGCATTGTGCAGCCCCACACAGCTTGATGCTTTCTCCTCTTGCTTCAAGGTTGTCGCTGTAAGGACCTTCGAATCCGACTCGATACGCTAACGATGTGCTATGTTGAATACCGTCTTGCCATGCACGCCTATTTGCGAGAGCAGCTCGAACATGCGGCTGTTCTAGGCCGGATCCCATTCCACAAAGGAATAAGATATTAGGACTTTTGGCAATGTGATCCACAACTGCAGGTATGGCGGCCTCCCGGGGGATGCGGTCATGGTATGGCCATGATCCATTCACGATGAGGGTAGTCAGATTCCCTGCTTGATCATCCTGGTCGGGATGAGCAATCATGTCCAGGTAGTCTTTCAAATCATGCCTTTTGAATGACGCAGCGATGCTCCATGTTGCAATACGATCAGGGTCGAGTCCAAGGGCACAAATGCGGGCATTTGTTCGGATGCCCGCCAGGTCGAAAGCGCTCCGAACGGAGACATAGGGAACGTCTGTGATCATGTCTGTGGCAGGTGGGGAATCCTTCACGCTGACAATGGTCATCAGCAATTGGGACAGATGGTCGATTTCGTTTCGAAGTCGAAACTCCTTGGACCCTTGACCAGCGTTGCTCTGGAGCACTAGTTTATGAATGGAAAGAGGTAACAAGCGGGTACACAGCTCCACGGTTATCCCGTCTGCCTCTCTACCGACACTTCCCCATAGCCCCTTGACTCTCCGACCTAAATCGTCATCTTCTGGTGACACACGGAGCTTCCGTAGTATAACCTCCAGGCTGTCCCATGCCTTTTCGAAATGTGCTTTCAGCGGTTCTGAGCGGTCAGATGGCCAGGGAAGCTTGTCCCATTCGTATTTGTGGTATCTCGAGAGGGCGTCCCGCTTCTCCATTGCAATCCGAGTCCGCATGGCCTGAATACATTCCGGCAGTAGTTGTAATGCAAGCTTCTCGTCCTCTCTGCGTGACTCGATGAACCCACACTCTCTGCCATATAGATACAATTCGAACAGAGCACTCTCGATGATATCTAGGACTTCGTCGTAAAAGAAATCAGGAAGCTCATCCTGATCCATTGTGGTTTGTGAGGCCTCCCTGCGCGCGCGTTGACGGTGTTGAAGATATACAAACATGAACTCCCACCACCTCCTAAGATTGACATATTCGCCATCGTGCCCTGATAATGCAGCCCCTTCAACATAAATCGGCGTTCCCGGAGTGCGGAGTGCTTGCGACGTAGAAAGAGTCCACTTCAACGGTAGCTGGTTTTGCCGCTCCCCAAATAGACGAACGCTGACATCTTGACCATGCCTAACAACGTCGCGAAACAGCTTGCTCCGCAAGAATCCGTCGCTTTGACCCTTTATCTCGCTGTTGAGAAGGACCTGATACGAACCCGTGCCGGGGAGCACTTCTAGCTTCGATAGAAATACGGTGGCGAGTTCAGCAGCTTCGTCATGACACAGGAACGTGAATGAGCGAGAATCGGTAAGGAGCATCGTAATGCAGAGATATTTGCGACTTTCGTCTGCGCGACTGGGAGTATGCCGCGGCGGAAGGAACGTCTTGTGAGCAATCAAGGCGTAATATAGAGTGATTGCATTCGCCTCCAGTCGAGGGAGTGGGCCGATCCACGTAGTAGCCGCTGCGAAGAAATCGTCCTCACTGTAGACAGCAAAGGGTTTCGGAGAGGATGTGGTCTCTCCAAAACCTAAGGTCTCTCCAGGATTAGGGGACGTTATCAAAGGATAGTAGGGGGACTCTGAGTCATGTAGACGGAGCGACATTGTCAGGCCTGTCGTCTCATCCCATAGGGGATTCAGACCCCACAGAAATACGCGGATCAAGGAGAGGAAGGTCTCCATGGCAAACCAAACGTAGGGACCAGCAGTTACATCGGCGCTACCCACAAGGCTAAAGCAACCTACATAGCCTGCCACTATCATTGCGATGCCAACACCAGATAGTAATTGGTACACAACGAGCATTGGGTCAACTGCCAGGAGAGCTGTGAGTTCTTTCCGTACAGCTTTCGGCAAAGCCTGTTGACCCTCCTCGAGGCTGGACGAGGAACGCAAATGAGCACGGAGACGTTCCTCAAGTGGCGTGTGGGTGTCCTCCGTGATATTGGTGTATCTCCGTCGGATGTCCATCCAGGCAATACTGATAGTCATGATTTGTTGAATTCGAAGCTGCAATGCCAATTGTGTGCAGACAACACACAAAAATGACCCGAAGGAGCGAAGTGCAGGATAAACCCATGACAGAGGATTGCTCCAATCATTGCTAGCCAGGTAGATATATGGAGACATGCTGACAATCGCGCACAATGCAGACGTGATGATGAGGAGTGCGTTCCAGGAATAAAAGTACTACAGGAATCAGTTAGTGCCGAGATCTACTGTAGAATTTAGAACATACCTCGAGGCGTTTCCTGATGATATGTTGGACATCAAAACCTATCCTTCTGCCCAGTGCCTTAATATCTCGAACAAGCCCTCTCAAGTCTCTACGGATGATGTCGGTGAACAATTCTTTCATATAGAGCTGTCACAGAGGATGCGAGGTCAGAGTCATATGACTGTAAAAATGAGTACAAGTCATACCGCAACACTACGGCCGCCTTCGTCCCATTCCCTCCCATTCCAGCGTCTCGCGGCCTCCTCTGCATTGTAAGCGCCCTGTCCACGTCTCCAACCGGACCACTCAAAACTAGAAACCATCTTCGGATCATCAATATGCTGTTCCTCCATCAGCTTTTGCAACTTCAGCTCTGCACCGTACATTCCAGTTTCTTCGTCCAGAGTTACCATCGAGGAAACAGAACCGGGTGTAGCAAACCCTGCATCACCCAACCATCGACCACCATAGAAGGGATAAGTGATAACCGCCAAAAATGCCGCGAACGTCGCTTTCACGATTCCTAGACTACCAAACAGCGACAACGCGGAAGCAGCGGCATAAAGATAGCCTTTTTCAAGAGCTGACCCTACGTGCCGCTCGCACTGTTCGGTTCCGAGAAGAGGTAGAAGGGCAGCGACGTCTTGGATGCCACTAGATAAAGTGTCGCCGAAGCTTGCAGCGGTACCCGCCATGGTTTATGTTGGGTAGACAAGGGATGCTGGCGAGTGCAAGGACAAGGAGTCTCCACTCTTTGCTGCCAGGCAGAAAACGATTTAAAGGTCCCGACATGAGGAGCCTGTCCATCAATCGATGACACACATTGTGAGAGATTTCCTCGCTGTTCGCGTCAACGCGTTAGTCCCTGCGTTCTATACTGGAGGAAGAAAACTCACCAATACCATTGGTGAGCAGTACTCGAGGAGTCACCACGCACAGGATCTGCAACATCCCAGCCCTCCAACGCTTCTTCTCGACCATTCTACGGGATGACGGAGTGCTTCTAATGGACTTCCATTCAACCTGTCATCCGTCAGGACATGTTTTAATATCATACGTAGATGAATACGGCTTACCACGTTGAAAACTCCAAAATGTCCTCGTGAGCTGTATGTGATGAACCAAAGAGCCCTCGACTGGCCCCCGAAGCCGAACTGGGGGTGTATTTTCAATTTTGCACTCAATTGCTTCGAAGACCGAAAAGGTTCAGATGACTTGATTCAAGCTCTTGCAGCGAGCTAGGGCCTCTGTCTAAATGAATGGATGGTTCTTCGCGAAGGTTCAGTCTGAAATGAGAATTCATAGTCAATGAGAGGAATCTCAGGATTCCATAGTTAGAGACTCACCCATCGCCCGAATTGTTCCCAGTGTTATTATTGACAGTTCCGAACTGCGTGTCCAACTTCCGCTAATCACTTTCCAGTCTCCAGGCATTACGCAAAAGATCATCATGATTTCTGGCTTGACCGGAACTGCGTAACCTCATGCAGCGGTATGGGGATGGTATGAAGCCTGTGATGTTTCTACGATGCGCATCTTTTGAGAGGCGAACAAGATGAATGGAGGACATTGAGCAACTGAATACCTGGCCATGCGTATGGAGCGGTCGTCATTCAATATTGAATATCGAACCAAGCTACTGCCGCTCTTCCTTGCTTCGTTTTCTCGAGCCAACGTCTAATTATAGACCTGTAAAACGAGGTGTTGTTCGGCATAACTAAGGAAAAGGAACAACAAAACGCAAAAATAACGCACTGAGTAACGCCTTCCAGGATACTGTTCTGTCAAAACGACCCCCGAGTTGCATAGTATCACAGAAAGGTAGAATTGAGGGATACGTGATGGTAGTATTGGGGAAAGTAAATCGCCAATGTATAGCTGAGCGGAAAGTGTCCATGTATAAGACTATAAAAGGTCCAACCAGGACTCGAACCTGGGTTAATGGAATGCTTGGTCAGAATCCACTGTGATAACCACTACACTATTGGACCAGACAACAGTTGACTAACGTATAGATATGATATGAGGTATCGTAAATTTGCCCCTTTCTCCAGTCAGTAATGAGCGAGCAAGAAGACAGCTATCAAGTAAAAATAGCTCAGTACTAGTCGGTCTATCAAGGGACTGTACTCGGATGAGGGGATAGTTTTCGGAAGAGAATCCTGGAGTGTCGCCGTGCCGTTCCAAGTTCCAGCTTCAAGTCGGGGTCGGAAGTGCTATTCTAAACGCTCGGATCCAGGCAAGGAAGAGAATACGGGACCCATGTCCAGACCTTGTGCCACCGCAACCTTGAGCTTTCGCCTCGATCCTGTGAAACGCGGAGGAAGAGAGGGTCAGAATAAGGCGAAAACGTACTGAATCCCTGCAATTGATCCCCAATCCCCAAAAAAGCTCTATAGCACGAATTCGGACCTTCTGGTTTAGCCTGGGCGGATCTATTCGTACACAGTATCGCAGGGACCAGCCAGGTGCATGTTTCTTGTCAAATATGAGCGGTTGTATGACATGGTAAAACGCACACCGCAGGTATATTGAATTGGCCTCGAATGGTCTAAGTAACCATGTCCCTGACCTCCCTGTCGGTGGGTAAAGGCCAAGCAAAGTGGCTGAATAGTCTTGGGAGCACTCGTACGCCTCCATACAGCCGCAGACGCTAGGTAATTTCTGTCTTCAGCTTAGAAATGACTCGTTCTTGAATCCAAAGCTTTGGTTCCACTGTTTCTGATGGGGCGGAGAGTCGGATTGTGCGGTATGGGGGGGAATGCGGGAGGCGGGGTTCCACCTGCCAGTGCCAAGAGGGATGATACTTGGATGATACCATGTTTTTTCTTGCAAGCGATAAGGGACATTAGATTTTGGCGAGCCAATCAGGCCGTCCCGTCGTCGCCTACGATGAGGAACCAATCGCTTCTGGGGGGTGAAATGAGCGAAATATCAGATACCTCCTGATCCAAACCATGAGAAATGACACAAAAACGTACACTTCGATGTCGTATACTGACTATTTGACAGAAGTATCCCAGCTTCATTTCCCAGAGAACAACACTGAGCATCAGCACAAGCACGGCTTGGATGGTATTGAGCTCCAGCCTAAGAATTGCCATGTCATCGATGCATCATGGGTATGGGCACCATTACTTGGGAAATTCCACGGTACAGTCGTACCGTAAGCCGTATGACCCCTAGTCATGAAATCATTTTGGAGTTTTTGGGTAAAAATATCGTCAAGGCGAGCCACAGAGTATCCAGGATTCTGTCAGGAAATGCATGTGTTCAAAAGCGGAAAAACTTTGGTGAGGTGAGCAGTGCCAACAGGGTGGAATATCGGAGCATTGGAATCCGACTCTGTCCGCCTGCCGTCCGGACATAGACTCCGGGGTACTTTATTTGCTTTTGCTCGTACGACCACTATCATGTCCTCACCGTCCCCAATTCCTTCCTCGTCCTCGTCGTCGACAGCGTCCACGACAAGCTCTGAAGAGCTTGCCAATGCCAAGACTAACGAGCAGAAACTCAGGCCCAAGTTACCCAAGCGCAAATCATGTCTAAAAACTCCTTCGCCTCTACCATCTCCCCCGATAACGCGGGATTCTGATCATGGTTGTCATTTAGTGGGGACAGGATCTGGATGCTGTTCGCCAAAGAAAAAGGTTGCATGGCATAACTGCGAAAACGATCCAGAGAGGTGTTTTGAAGAGGTTTTTGTAGCAGATGATTGGGATAGAACGCCCATGGAACCTGCTCAGCCTTTGAGTTACAAGTACGTCCTGAAATTCTCAAAAAGATTTATAAAAATCGTTTTTCATTGTTTCTTGATACTAGGGACATTCTTGAGCTCAAAGCGATCCAACGCACCCTTCCACGCGCACAGCAACTGCCAGACCCTTACACGGGCAAGAAACCGAGTCATTTTCTCAGCGCTGTACCTATCGCGCTTTTGCCGTTACTACCGGACAACGGCTGTCCCTCTAGCGGTGCCTCGACACCGAACCCCACACCAGAGTGTAGTCCCGGTCAGAGTGTGGACACCAGTCCCACACCCAGCTCAAATCCCAGCCCGGTGGAAAGTAAAAACACTAGTCCCCATCGTAGCCCATGTGCGAGTCCTCCACGGTCTCCATTATTACGCCCATCGAATCTCAGCCAGCCACATTGTCATTTGCCGAAAATTTCGTCGCCGCTTAGCCCCACTCCACCTTCCGCGGTCTCAACGCCGTCCCCAACGCCGTCTACCGTGTTATCTTCCCCTCAGTCACCATTATCACCTAACGCGACGCCTACAACGGCTACACAACCGTGGCTGGCTCACCTAACGCCCCCGTCTACAAGAACTCCGAATAAGCCGAAACCCCGTTTCTCATTTGTGCCCCTTCTCGAAACGCCGCCCTCGTCTGCCTCCCCTTCATCTCCATACGAAGGCCCTGATTTTTCGGAAACACCGCAACCCCAGTCTTTGACTAACGCGATTAATGCTGCATTTGCTAGTCGTTCAGACTTTACTACCGTTGGGAATGACGATGAAGAGGAATTCACAGACCCACCGACACCGGCTCTCACAAACGCATCTCTAACGAGCGGTTGTGAATCGGACCTGTTGACGAGCGACATGTCCGAACATGAGACGGAGGAAGAAAGTGGCAATGGCCTCGGTTTGTCATTCTCCGACGAGGACAGAAAACCAGGACCTTCTGGGCTAGGATCGCCGTTTCGGCCGATAATGTTTAAGGCTGCGCATAAGCGGCCACCACCCCCTCCAAAGCCGAAGAAGCAGAAGAACGTGATGTACATCAATGGGGAGGAGATTGAGTTGGATGGAAGCGATAGCGAGGAAGAGCCTATAAACTCACCCTCGTCTTCATCTACCGCTCGAGCTGAATCACCCAAGCCATCGACACCCCAGCCGATCAAGTCACCGTATACGAGTAGGATGAGTACGTCCTCCTCGTCACCGCGTCTGTCACCAAGACCAAACTTGTCATGCTCACCACCTTCATCGTCTATAGCGACAGGTGGTGAAGGGATCGGGATGGTTGTCTCTTCATGATATACGTGCGTTATGGTGGTGTTAATGCGGAGACGGAGAGCGTTCAATTCCGTTTTTCAATCACTTTAGGACGGCATTCAAGTGGCATCATGACTTTCCACGCATACCTCACACTACCTTACCCACATACTCATTCACACTTACCATAATTTATCATGCATCATGCATCGTGCATCGGAGTTCCTTTTTTTTTTCTGTTTCACTAACAACAGCACACGATATGATATAGCCTTCATTATTTAGTCTCAGTTATCGCCTTTCTCATTCTGCTCGTTCTCTTCGTCGTCATGTACACAATCGCATTGCATAGCATACCAACCATCGTTATTAACATTCGTATCTCTCTTCAGACACTTGGGTGAAGTTAAACAGTGAACGGTGAGCATCACGCTACGCGCAGAAGGAACAGTGGGAAGATGCCATTGTGAAAATGAATGTATTACTCGAGCGTTACAGGTACATTTACTGGTGGGCGTGTGGAACTGATGAACCACAGCAAATTGTGAAATTGGCAGCCTGAATCTGGATCCGACGAGCAGCCAGAGCGAACGACCGAGGATGTGCAGATAAGTTTGACGGCAGGAACGCAGAGAACGATCCATATTTCTGATAGTCACCCAATGGAATAATCCATGATGCCCTGAAGATCTGAATGGATCCGCAGAACACTCGCCGGAGTACCAGTAAATTGGCGAGCGCGATCACTCTGTTCTCGAATCTGTCAATGAAACTATGAGATAGGTCACTGTCGCCCGGTGATAAGTAATGGTACAGTACCTAGAAAAATGGCCCCGACAATGTTCGGAACAAGCAAAGCATGTGCATAATTAGCGGCCACCAAGTTCCGTGTACTTTGCAGTGATAAGTTGCGCGAGGTATAAGCATCGTTGCTCTTCCTTCCATGTGCTGTCGAAGGTGGCACGTCAAGCCGCAGCTAGGACTGCCTAGGTCCGTGAAGGATCGGGTCCAATTCCAACTCCCACGCAAGATGGACATGCTGACCCCAAACACGTATGAGACACCGTATCTGAAAAGTCTTTAGAGCGGCTGCGCCCCGTGTTTCCGCCGTATTGTGGGTTCCACGTCTGACATCTTGAATCCTTGACTTGAAAGGTATGCTGTAGGCCTCGCCAGTGCCATTCCGTCCGAGTAGAAATCAGTGCTCCTGGTACTTCACAGCGTCCGCGTCAAAATGCAGTCGAGTCAAGGTTCATATACATAACCCGGAGTTTGTTCGCCCTTCGAGAACTGAAATCAAGGGCCAGTACTCCTTCGCACAGTTATTGTTTTCGAGATAGAAGTAACTGCATATTTCGAGTGGTGTACATCGATAGATCATAGAGACGGGGGTCTGACTCAATTCGTGACGAATCTGTTGGTTATCGGCGCCATGAAAAAAAAAAACTAATAGAAGTATGCTGCTGGGTGTCGAATTCTATTTGTAGCCGAGGACTTTGTATCTGTTATCATATAGATATCGATAATTCGTTCTTTAAAGGACTCACATTAATTTCCGGTGACTTTCCATGTCAGAAGATGGTGGTGAAATGGAGGTTCGACCAATAAAGACACCCATATTCGACGTTCTACCGCGTGACAATCTCGACACGATGCCCCGTTGACGATATATTGAATGACTGAGTGCGCGGGTTGAATATTGAATGATGAGTGCGTGGGTGGATTTTGGAGGTTAGAATCCCGAGTGGGCAAGCTTGTAACTTCTTTAATGGCACCCTTGTGTTTGATCAGCATGACAGTCACAAGTCAGAACCACCAAGTACACACATCCGACACACCCTACACACGTCCTTTTTCCCCCACGCACACTTTGCAACAGTCTGTCGCCCTAGAGGTCTTCAGGTTCTCGAAGATATCCAGGATCCTAAGGACATTGGGCCTGCAAAAACCTCGAGTAAAAGAGCCTAGCGAAAGGAATCGGCGAATGAG